GAAGGAAGGAAGGAAGGAAGGAAGGAAGGAAGGAAGGAAGGAAGGAAGGAAGAAAGAAAGAAAGAAAGAAAGAAAGAAAGAAAGAAAGAAAGAAAGAAAGAAAGAAAGAAAGAAAGAAAGAAGAAAGATCAATGTGAGAGAGACACATTGACTGGTTGCCTCCCGCACATGCCCTGACCCCAACAGGGGCAGGGACCGAGCCTGCAAGCAAGGCACGTGCTCTTGGCCAGAATCAAACCTGGGACCCTTCAGCCTGTGGGTCGACGCTCTAACCACTGAGCCAAACCAGCTAAGGCAGATCCTTGTATTTCAAAGCTGGACAGGCCCTTAGCACTTCTCTAACCCACACCTTCATTTAAATATAATTAGGAAACTGAAACAAAGGGGAGGTCCTGGTTTGTTAAAATATAGCTAGTTAAGCCCGGCTGGGCGTGGCTCAGCAGCTGAGCACCCACCTAGGACCCAGGAGATCGCAGTTCGATTCCCGGTCAGGGCAATGCCCGGGTTGTGGGCTCGGTCCCCAGTCGGGGGCGTGCAGGAGGCAGCTGATCAATGACTCTCTCTCATCATTGATGTTTCTATCTCTCTCTCCCTCTCCTTTCCTCTCTCTGAAATCAATATATATATATATAGCCAGTTAATGACAAAAGTCCCCTTTTAAGGGGCTTTCCCTGACCACCCCAACTAGAAGTACCCCCTAGTTACTCTCTAACCCATGACTGTTTTATTTTCTTCACCACTCCCTGACATCATCTTTATTTGCTTATATTTTTATGGGCTGCAGCCCCCCCAAGACTAAAGGCTCCATGACAACAGACCTGTTCATCATGCTCTCACTGTGTCCCCAGCATGGTCAGTACCCTGTGACAACTCCTTCAGTGGCTGAACGGGAGAGTCAGAACCCAGAGCCCCTGCTTCTCAGGCTGGCATCTCTCCCATGGCTTCGCTCTGGCTCTATGACAGAGGCCCACAGCCCTAGATGACAGGCTGCTCTGGTCCTGCCTGGCAAAGTTTAAAGAGCAAGCCTCAGAAGAGTCCCGCTGTTTCCAGTAAGCCTCCAAGTGACTTCACTGAGTCTCAGAACAAAACTCAAAAATACTTAAGAGAATTCAAAATATCCAGCACCCAACTATGTAGAATTCAGTGTCTGACATCCAATAAAAATATTACCAGAAGTGCAAAGTAGGAAAATATTGTCCATGATGACCATAATGCATAGAAAAACCAGTCGATACAAACAGAAACAGACCCATGAACGACACAGACGACAGATAAAGTAGACAGAGACATTGTTTTAAATGCAATGGAGGTGTGTTTGCAATACATGCAGAAAGACGTCTGTTGTAATTCCTTAATTGTTAACAGGAGCCATCCATCTGGTCATTCTTTCAGCAGGACGTGCGATCCCCTGTACCAGGTTCTGATGAGTTGGACAGAGGTAACCAAGACAGAGAAAGTACCGGCCCCCTTGGAACTGAAACTCTAATTAGGGAGATAGGCAATCAACAAATAAACAAGGGAACCTGAGCTGAGGAGTTGGGGGTGGGATAGGATGGGCCTGGGCTCACTGTCATGGGTAAGGGTGTGAGAGCCAGGGCAGGTGAGGAGAGGAAGGCATAAGAGAAAGGCTCAGGTCTAGGCGGGCAGGTTAGGGGTTCAGTGATATAAGGAGGCCCGGGGCTGAGCAGTTGAACAAGAACACGGAGCATGGCAAATAGGGGATCTGTGGGGGATTTGAGTCACCTAAGGTAAGGGGGAAGAGAGTATTCTATGATGCGTTTCCAGGGGCTACCAGGGCTTTAAGACAGAGGAGATGTGGAAAGAGTGGCTGTGAATACTGAAAGTTGAAAATGTATGTGTGAAACGTGGGAGGGGGCATATTGTATTCCCTCAATACAGGCTCTGTCTCCTGTGTGAAAAGTGGCCTCTAGCTCTGGCCCTGGGTGCTTCTCTCCCAGCAAGTGGGGAGGCAGCAACCCTCTACAGGGTTAACTCCTTTATTTGGGGTTTCTATGGCCAAGTGCCAGCCAGCAGGGCTGAGCCAATTTTATGCACATTGAGGGGAACTCAGAGCCAAGAGCAGGCAGAAAGCTGGTTAGGTCCTCCACCCTCTCTAGTCATCAAATTCCTTGTCTCAGAAGGCAGCTCTTTCCCAGACCAGTTTCATCCCCTCTCTGGTCCCAGTATGAGACACCATCTTCTCTTCTCTGAAATATCATTTAGGTTCACCTTTTCCATGGCTGTCCTTAAAGCCAAGCAAGGAGGTCCCCTCAAACATGCCTCGGAGGACCCTGCGTTTTGAAGTGCCTTGCTAGAAAGTTTCTAGGTCTTCCTCTGAGGCTGTCATGGCCAGCAAGGTCATCCAGGAGGGCCACCCCAGCCAGGGCCAGTCCCCACATGAGCCTCAGTTTTCTCTCCTCCCTTCAGGGTGCTCTTCAGCTCATGCATGTAGTAGACCAGATGCTCCAAGGTGCTCCGGGCTTCATGCTTGTGGAGCTTCTTGGTCAGTCCCTGGTTCCAGGAGGACAGCCTGGCAAGCTGGTCATTCTTGCTGACTGGTGCAGCTTTCCTTCCATGGCCTTGCTTGAGAGACCGGGCCACCAGAATGGTGCTGATGTGCTGATCTGAGTGACTCTCACAGTTAGACATGGGACAGAGAATCTTCGTGTGCACTGACTAGACAACAAATAAATCAATGAATGCCTCCCCTCCACCAATTCTGAATGCTCACCAATAAGTCACTGTACCTCCCATGGACTAGTGAACTTGGTATGTTTTTAAATCAAATTGCTTATATAGACAGAGGTCCACCAAAAATATGTGCCAGAGCCCCACATGCCCAGGAGCAGCCCTGGCCTTTTCTCTACTCCCAAGTCCTCAGTTCATTCTCTCTCTTGGGCCCTGGGGAGGCTCTGTGCCTCCCTGAGAGCAAGATGCAGCCTGTCTTGGTCAATACCCCTCGTCTACCTCCTGGTCCGTGTCTTCTCCGGCTTACTGCTGCTCCAGCTCCAAACCCCCTTGCATCTCTGGATTTTTTCCATAGTATGCAGAGGCAAGGAGACATAGGGGGCTTCTTTAATGTGGGGTGTCCAGTGAGTCCCGGAACAATCCCCTTGCCTTCTTCAAGTGTAGTGGCCATCGAGAGAGGGGGGCATGGTCCCCCCAGTCCTGTTGTGCTCCCAAGCTGGCCAAGTCCTTCATTAAGGCCCACAGAGGAACTGTTTCCCTACCAGAGTTACAAACCACGGTGACCCAGAAGTGGTAGAGAACTGAGAGTCTGTGACAGACACTGGCAGTGCCCTGCCCCTGTCCCCCCGCCCACCTGGAGTTCCTGTGCAGCTTTGGTGGACAGTCCCATCCACACCAACAGTGTCCTGTCTCGAGCACCTGCATGTCTCCACCTGAAGGTTCTCTTTGGCCACAGGAGCACTCTCAGGGTGGTGAAGGGTTAACCTCCCCTGAAGCAGTCCCCAACTAATGAGGGACAGGAGTTGGTGACAGACTGGCTTCCTCACTGCCTGTGGGACAACTCGGATGCGTGCCTTACTCAGTCTCCAGAGGTCCTCAGTGGGGCCAAGCCCCAGGCGCCCACAGCAGTCACCTGCTCATAGCCAACCCCGCACTGGCTGCCTTCCCTCCGTCTCTCTTCCCCACTCTCCTGGGATCTGTGAGATCTGTTCCCAGATGGACTACTCTCCCCCAGAGTTTGCCTCGGGACGGCTCTGAGGTGAGTGCCCTGCCCCCACTTCAGAATCATGGTGGGGCTCCTACAGTCAGGCTCCCTGGGCTTCAACCGGAGCCCCGCCCTTAACTGTGCTATCAGCTGGGGCTCAGGGAAAGATTTCATGTGAGAAAGGAATCTTGCTGCTCCGAAAATAGGGGAAATTTCTGAGCAAGATCAATAAAGGTTTGCTTGTTTGTTTGTTTGTTTGTTTTGAGCTTTCCCTCCAATCAGCCGGTCGCAGGGTTGGGCTGGACCTCCTGACATCATGCTCTTGGGCCCCAAGGGCAGGCGAAGCCCCACGCAGACCTGCACCCCGCCTCCTCGCTGCGGGGAGGCCTCGGGAGCCCAGGCAACCACGCGGCTGGCTGGGGGCTGCGGCTCCTCTCCCCTCGCCTCCCTCGCCGCGCTGCAGGGACAGGGAAGGCTGGGGCCCGTGGGCCTTATCTGCTCCCCTGGTTCCGGTGCCGAGCGTGCCTTTTTCGTTTGTGCGGATATGTGCATATTGAGCGGCTCCTAAGTGAATGCCGATGTTGGAAGGGGGGTGGGCGGCCTGTCCTGTCCTTATCTGGGGCCCGTCCAGGTGGAAAGAGGCCCGTGCCCAGCTGCTCTGTTTACTCTGCATGGAATTGATCTGGGGGGTTGTTTTTCTCATTTTTCCTCCAATCTCCTTATTAGTTCAGCCTCAGAAAGCCCCTTATCACTGCCGGATGTCAGGCCGCACTGTGCCATCAGGCCTGGCCATGGCAGGCTGTCCATTAATTGATTTTGCCCTCCCCTCCTGGGAAGCACAAATTGGCGTGGCCCATTAGCAGCAATAATTCCCTGAAAGGGATTATAAATCATGACCTATGTCCATCGGCTGCTCACAACAGAGTGGTGCCCACGTGAGGAGTGTCGGGCAGGGA